TAGACAGACAAAGCCAGAGTTCTCACTATGGTCAGACAGACAGACAAGGACAGGGTTCAAACCATAGTCAGTTAGACAGACAAAGCCAGAGTTCTCACTATGGTCAGACAGACAGACAAGGACAAGGTTCCCACTATGGTCAGGTAGAGAGACAAGGACAGAGTTCCCTCCATATTCAGACAGACAGACAAGAAAAGGGTTTCCACTATGGTCAGTTAGAGGGACAAGGACAGGGTTCCCACCATGGTCAGATAGATAGACAAGGCCAGAGTTCTCACTATGGTCAGACAGACAGGGAAGGACAGAATTCTCACTATGGTCAGGTACAGGGACAAGGTCAGGGTTCCCACCATGGCCAGACAGACAGACAAGGACAGGGTTCCCATCATGAACAGACAGACAGACAAAGCCAGAGTTCTCACTATGGTTGGACAGACAGACAAGGTCAGGACTCCCACTATGGTCAGACAGACAGACAAAGCCAGAGTTTTCACTATGGTCAGACAGACAGACAAGGACAGGGATCCCACTATGGTCAGGTAGAGGGACAAGGACAGGGTTCCCACCATGGTCAGATAGATAGACAAAGCCAGAGTTCTCACTGTGGTCAGACAGACAGACAAGAAAATGGCCAAATAAACAGACAAGGTCAGAGTTCCCACCATGGCCAGACAGACATACAAGGACAGAGTTACCATTATGGTCAGACGTACAAACAAGAGAAGGATTCCCACCATGGCCAGACAGACAGACAAGGACAGGGTTCCCATCATGAGCAGACAGACAGACAAAGCCAGAGTTCTCACTATGGTCAGACAGACAGACAAGGACAGGGCTCCCACTATGGTCAGGTAGAGGGGCAAGGACAGGGTTCCCACCATGGTCAGACAGACAAACAAAGCCAGAATTCTCACTACAGTCAGACAGGCAGACAAGAAAAGGGTTCCCACTATGGTCAGACAGACAGACAAGTACAGGGTTCCCACTATAGTCAGGGAGACAAACAAGGACAGAGTTTGCACCATGGTCAGACAGGGAGACAAGGAAAAGGTTCCCACTATGGTCAGACAGACATACAAGGACAGGGTTCCCATCATGAACAGACAGACAGACAAGAAAAGGGTTCGCACCATGGCCAAACAGACAGACAAGGTAAGAGTTCCCATTATGGTCAGACAGACAGACAAGGACAGAAGTCCTACTGTGGTCAGTCCCAGATGGCAGAAACTGAAAAGCACCAACAAAATACACACTTCCAAGGGAATGGAAAAACAAGAAGAGACTCATATGTTGAGCAGTCGGAAAAGTCAAGGAGACTAAGTCAACAGATTCCAGGACAGGAAGTGAATCAAAACCAGGCACATGGATTCCAGTCTAAACAGCAGCACAGCTATCATGCATGGAAGCCAGAGGAGGATAGCCAATACCACCAACACAAACTCTTAGCACAAATCCAACAAGAAAGGCCATTGTATCACAAAGGAAGTGACAGGCAATCAGGTAATAGTGAACAGAGCCACAGACAGGTCGAAACCAGACAGAACCAGGACAAGAGACAATCCCACCAGGCAGAAGAAAAGCAAGGTCATCAAAGCTGGGGTGAACACAGCCATGAGGGTCAGGAAAGTGCATGGGAGGCACAGGATAGGCAAACCTGTGAAGAAGAACAAAATCATCAAACAAAGAACAGACAAACCTATGAAGATGAGCAAAACCACCAGAGACAAAACAAGCAAACCTGGGAAGAGGATCAACATCATCATCAACAACAGGACAGACAAATCTATGAAGATGAGCAGAACCACCAGAGAAGAGATAGGCAAACACACATAGAGGATTATAACCATCAGCAGGATAGTCAAACCCATGAGGAGAAAGGGAGGTACCAAGGGTCTCAAGATCAAAGAAGACAACAGGGTGAAGGTCACCCTAGCAAGGCAGCTAACAATCCTCCCAATCCCTTCTATGGCTATGTACAAGAGCAGAAATCATATCAGTACTAGGCTGTGTGGGCACCCAAGCTAAGCAACATGAAGCCAAAGAAGAAATCTAGATATCAGATTCATCTCTACTTCTATTTGAAACGTTAGAAATGTTTGTCTTCCCTCTACCATCTATCTACCTTCATGAATCTTCTTGAGGACTAGTACTCTCTTTCAGAGCAATTCGATTCTTTGAGCAGCAATTAGGGGGCTTTCTGGTTAGGTGAAACTACATAGCAAATTGTGTGATTAATTACTTAATTTTGATCATTTGTGGAATTTAAATCATTCCTGGTTTGCCCTCTGTATAGGTGAATTGTGTTTGGGTCATTGAAAGGTAGAACACTTCTACCTAAAATTCAAAACTAGGAAAGGTATTCTAAAGATTTACATTTTTAACCAAAGAAAGGAAACCTGGGCTTTATGGAGAAAACATCAGGGACTGCGAGTTGCATAGTCTGGACCAGAATGCAACAGAGTGAGAGGCTGCTAAGGAAACCAGAGACCACAGAGGGCATCTCTGCTCTTGATGCTTGCCTTGCTCAGCCTCTTGCCCGCCACCAGAGGGACTGACTATCCATTGACCAATATAAAAAAATTGGCGGGATGCATTCCAATTCAATGCCTTTCTAGTTTCCAATCACATGAAATAGGAGGTATACATCACCTCTATGATCCCCAAGGGCCAAAACTGTTAATTCATAGCTCTGTCCTGAAAACCCTTCACAGGAAAACCAACATGCAGAACAATGGAATTATATTAAAACACCAAATAAATGATTATTGAACAATGACTTTGGTGGTTCTTTTCCTTCACTTGGGATTGTGCTATCTTTGTTTGTGGGCCATTATCCTAGAATAGGGCCTCATTTCATGGTTTCTAAAGTCTCTTCTCCGAGTTCCTGACAAATTAAGAATCATCATGAAACAAATACTAAATAGTCAAAATGAACCTTACCTAAATATGATTTTCAGCTGTCTCCCCCACCAAAAAGTCATACAATGGTGCCTCAGTTCATGAACTTAATTTGCTCCATGATTTTGTAAAAAAATGCCCATGTTTGTGTCTGTGGGGGAAAGATGGTCACAGTTGTGTTTGTTCCCTGCTGTAGAGTTTGCAAACAAAAAATTTTGCCAAATGCTTTTGTTTGTGAACCAAATTGTTCACAAACAAAAACATTTGTGAACCAAGGTACCACTGTATTTGACCCTTACCACTCGTTCACACCACATTAAATTGTCATTATCTTGCCTGCTCTGCGTCCTCAATACCACTTGACTATCTTTGCACATTCTGATCTCCTTCACCATAATTTCCCTTCTCCTCAAAGACATGAGAACAAACTTCACTCTTTACCACAGCACACAGGCCTGCTGCTATCTGACCTAGATGGCCAATCCAGCATAGCCTCATGAGAAGGTGTTCCTAGAGCATTCAACATTCTACCTGTGCCAAGTACTTGGCCTTTTCTTAGCTCACCATGGTTTCTCATGAATTCCTATCTTTGAATGTATCATCCCATCAGCCTGGAAATCCTTCAGCTATTTTTTATCTGGAAAAAACTAATTATCCTCTGGATCCCAAGGAGTATCACCTACACCTGTTAGAAAAGCTATTCTCAAAAAGATAAGATTAAAAGGTGTTGGGCCAGGGATATAGCTCAGAGACACAGCACCTGCCTGGCAAGTGCGAGATCATGAGTTTGATTCCTAGTACAAAAAAAAAAAAAAAAGATTAAATAGTGTTGAGGAGAACATGGTAAAAACAGAACACTCATACACTGTTAATGGAAATGTTTTAGTACAGTTATTTTGAAAAATGGCAAGATGTTCCTCAAAAATTAAAAATAGAACTATGACCTATTTGGAAGAACTCCAGTCTTTGTCTTTGCCATCACCGCTGGACATCAGTCTCCAGTTTCTTCAGCCTTCTGACAGATTCACACCAGTGGCTTTGCAATGAGCTTCTAGGCCACTGACCTTGGACTGGTGTTGCATTCTTCACCCCTCTTTTTTGTGGCTTCCATCTTCTTGGGGCAAGCTAGACTCTCCAGCTCTTCACAGTACAGCCATTTGGGTTCTTCCACCTCCAATCCCATGGACAGCCGTTGTGGACTCTTCTGCTTCTGATCTTATATTTTAAAATTCTTCTAGCAAACCAATTCAGGACCCTTCCTGTCTCTCAGGATTTATTCCTCCTCCTCATTTCTATTCCCCATTCTTTTTCCCCAATAAATTTTCCTACTGTTAACCTCAAATAAATAAATAAATAAATAAAAAGAAAAAAAAAAGTTCTTCGGGACTTCTGGGGAAATGATGGAATTATGAGCAGCAGGGAAAGATCCACTCTGATATTTGGAATCTTAACACTACAATATAGTAACATGAGGAAGAAGGAGGTGAGGCAAGGGTCTGAAGTGAGAATCAGAGCCCACAGGGAAAGAGAAGAGGGCAATCACAACACAAAAGAGGGAGTAAGCAGGGCATGGTGGTGCACGCCTGTAATCCTAGCTCTGGGAGGCTGAGGCAGGAGGACCGTTTGAATTTGAGGCCAGCCTGGGCTACAAAGTGAGCAAAGGCCAGCCTGAACTACATAGCAAGACCCTATCTCAAAAAGAAAAAAAAAAGAGGCAGTGGGCAAGTGGCACTTCCTCCCTGAGCTCTAGCTCATGGCATGGAAGAGGTAGCTTGAGCTTGCAGAGGCCTGGTGATTATTGGCAACTCCAGAGGCCTCCACAGAGAAGCACACCAGTGGAACAGAGCAGTAGATGATGCAGACTGCAGAGGCTGGTGAGTTATTCAGGTTCGGACAACCCCCTGGCCAGTAGCCATTTCGGAAAGGGCCCAGCAGAAGTCACAACACAAAGCAGCTGCAGATTGGCTCCACCTAGTAGATTCAAGTGTCAGGATGAGGCAAAACTGAGTTCAAATTGGCAGTAGGTCAGAGAGTTGAGTTCAAGCTGGCAGGAGGCACTTGGAATGTTGTGGACTCAAAAACTCAAGTCCCAGCCTCACAGCCAGAAACCAGAAGCAGTCTGAGCTTCAGCAGAACCAAAGGCCCAGGTGTGCTGAGATTGTCCACCACTGCAACAGTTCTACTGCTGGTTTGCTGAGATCAATCAACATGGATCTGGGCTCTCTTTGCATTCTCTGTGAACCAGAGACAGCAAAAACACACCCTGAAGTGGACATTTATTTTTCCTGCTTTTCTTCCTTCCTTTGCTTTTTAAAGTTTCTAATTTTTTTCTCTTTTTCTTCACTGTTCTTATTTTCATGAGTGAGAACATTGTTTCTAGTTCTTTTGTTCTGTTCTTGTCTCTGTTTCTTCCTTCTTTCTTTCTCTCCTGTCTTCTTCACTGGTTCCCAAAGCTTATATAATCTTCATCTTCTAACTTTGCTTCTAACCCCTTTCTCCAACTTCTCTATTTGTTTCCCCTAAACCCTTTTAACTTTTCTCCCCTGAGAGTAAAATCACCATATCAAAAGGATATTTACTGTACACAATTTAGTGGTGTGTTTTAGATTTGGTTTTATAACTATAAATCTTGTTGATATGATTAAAGGTGACAAATTAACAGTTACCACAGTTTGTCATTTTCTAGGATGTGTTGATGTTATTGTTATTACTGATTGCATTAGTTCAGTCGATGTGACATAATTGTTCTAATCAGTTGTTCTTCCTTATATGCCAAGACTGAAATTGCCTGAGGGTCATAAGTAAGACTATAGGGCAGTGCCAAAGTATCACAGTCTGGGCCAAATAGGCAGCAATTTCTCATCCCCAATAAACTGAAGAGTTTGCAACAGACTCAAAACCCAAAAGCAAGCTATACCTGGAAGGCATCTCTGAGAAGTAGGCATTTCCCAAGCGTTCTCAATACTAGCAACAAATATACCTACCATAGACAATTTACAAGCATCAATGCAGAAATTAAACTTTAAAATTTTGAAAAAAAAGATATGAAAGCAAGATGCAACCCCAGACTTCCAGCTCACCAGAAGCAAACCTAGGGAGCAATGAGATGGAACAATTCAAAAGCTACTCACCTGGACTCTCTGACATGGTAACAGCAGTGGTAACAAAGCAGATGAATGAGGCTGTAGAAAAAAGTCAAATAAAAAATAATTTCTCAGATAATTACAGAGACGGTGACCATAAGGAAAGATATGTTTAGTGACTCTAGAGCAGATATAGATAAAAAAATTGAGGAGTTTAAGAAAATGATGGAAGCCATGAATAGCCAAAATAGGAAAGATATGGAATCGATGAAATAGAGTCAATCAGACATCCATGGGATTAAAAATTATTTTGAAAGTGTACATAGGAGAATGTACCAATGTGAGGACAGACTACCAGTTCTAGAAGACGGGATTTAGTTAGTGATTACAAAAAGAAAGATTTCTTAAAGTAGCAAGGGACCATAAAAATCAATCCAACAGCTGTTAGATGATGCAAAGAAGAATAACATAAGTTTAACTGGAGTCAATGACATAAAGTAAGTAATGCATGCAGAACTCCAATTAGCCATGATCAAAAAATATCTACACCAAGGCATATAATAGTCAGAATTCTAGAAATTCAACACAAGAACAGATTATTAAAAGCTGTAAGAAAAATGAAATCACTTATAAAGGAAAATCCATCAGAATTACATCAAACTTCTCCACACAAACCCTCAAGTCAAGGAGAACTTGGAGTGAAGTACTTGAAGCCCTAAAGGAAAACAACCTCCAACCCAGATTGATGTACCCTCCAAAACTATCTATCAAAATTGAGGAGGATAAGGAACACCTAAAGAAATTTATGAACACCAAACTACCACTGCAAAATGTTCTGAAGAACATTTTAGAAATAGATAATGAAGACTACAACACCATAAACCCCAATAGAATGAATCTGCCAGAAAGGCAAGTAATTAAACAGAGGGAAAGAAAGGAACCAACAAGCTGGGCATGGTGGTGCATGCCTATAATCCTAGCACATGGGAGGCTGAGGCAGGAGGATCATTGTGAGTTCAAGACCAGCCTGGGCTACAAAGTGAGCTCAAGGCCAGCCTGAACTGCATAGCGAGACCCTGTCTCAAAAAAACCAAAAAAAAAAAGGAACCAATAACAGGAAAATAACTTGAGAAGGATAAGTCAATACATATCAGTGTAACCATCAATGTACATGGCCTCAACTCACTAATCAAAAGAAGTAGACTGGCAAAATGGACCAAGAAGCAAGATCCTACAATATGCTGCACATAAGAAATACATTTAACCCCAAAAAAATTCATAGACTGAAAGTCAAAAGATGGAAAACAATACTCCATGCAACAGCAACCCAGAAAAAAGTGAGAGTAGCTATTCTATTTTCAAACAAAGTAGATTTCAAGACAAGACTGATTAAGAGAGACAAAGAAGGTCATTACAGCCTTATAAGGGAACAATCTAAGAGGAAGAGATAACAATCATAAATATATATGGACCCCTGCCTCACAGGCCCCCAGAGGGAGGGCCCGCAGCGCACAGGGAGCAATGCGGCCAAGAGCGCTGTGGCACACCGGCCTTCAGGCCAGCCACCGCTGCTCAATTGAGAACTATCATGACACAGAGAAACAATGACACAATTGGCCCACCATGCACAGGCTGCAGATGCCCACCTAAGGATGTGTGTGAATCATTCAAACATGGAAAAACCCCTGGGAATACATGCTATACAACGGGCCACTCTTGCTCCTGCCATTGAGAACTAGAAAGGTCTAGAGTCAGCAGAGGAGCAGCTGCTGAATAAGCACTCGGAGAACATGAG